TTTAGCTCCGCACGCAACCGCGCGCATCACATGGTAGGCTTTAGTGAAACTGGACAACTTGCTGAATATTAGGTCACGTGGCTGAGAAACTAACAGTAAGATGTTTGGAAGATGTGTCACATGAATTTCAAAGGCTGTCCAATTTTGCTGAAGATTGTCGCGTAATGCGCGCAGTAGCATGCGGAATGAAAATGGTACTTATCATGACTTCGTAAACATTTAGCATTGATATCGAGCTCGGATGATTTAGCGGTTTATAATAACCAATGCATCTAACCGAGCTATGATGGAAATCGGAAATATAGTGGAAATTCGCTATTGGTCCAAGTTGAGCAGCTCAACTTTCTTTGCTTCTTTAGATGAAAGGGTAGGAATGGAACATATTCACGTGCTAGGGACCTGGTTTAGTTCAACTGAGTGCACGCTCAACTGTCGCTACTTTTATCAGTACAGTTGCCGCTCATACCACTTTCTGTCACCTACATTCAACCCTCGCCACCTTGATCGCTTGCCAGTGATAATTGCAACGAAGTTGGAGAGACCTGCATTCAGACGCTCTTATCATTCCTTGTCATTTGTTATCAGTTCATACTGTTCGCAATCGGTGTCCCGGTCCCAACCTCCAGGCAACGTGTAGGAGCTAATATTTACTGTCACCACGAAGGCTGCAACGAAATTAGCAGTACTCAAAATCCTAACTTCCTTATCAACCGTTATCGCTTGTTATCACTTTTGATCATCCGCTATCCGTGTTCCCGTCCCATCCCCTATACCACATGTGAGAGCCAAGGTTCCAATGTAACCGCGAGGGCCGCAACGAAACTGGTGGTATCCACACTTTGACGCCCCTTATCAGTTCTTATCAGTTGCTACCACATTCGTTCACTCAACTTCTTGGTCCCCGCCTCACCCCACATATCATACATGAGTGCAAACTCTCCACCGTCAACGCGAACGGCGTAACGAAATTGGTGACATCAACATTTCGGCGTCCGTTATCAGTTATTCCTATCAGTAGTTATCACTTCCGCCACCCATCATCAGTGTTTGTGTCCAGCCCCCATATATCCTAGAAGTTTGAGCGCTCTGGGTCCAAAGGGGAGTGAAGTTATGAATTTCCGGTCAGACACACACACACACACACACACACACAACAACCGCTTAGCCGATTATATATAGTAGGATTATGGAGGTTGTTTTTGGACAGTTTTTTGAACGAATTTGGTGAATTTTATGGAAAATTAAGCAAAATAGCATAAATCAGGCAAGTCGTTCCCCCTCCCTCCTAATCCGTCGGACCGAGCCGTTGTTGGATGGAAAAAGTAGGAGGGAGAGTTGGGATGGATTGCTGTAGACTGTCTCAGAATTCAAGCAACAAAACAGCCATGAGGGGTGAAGGTGGACAGAGAAGGGCGGAAGAGGAATTATATCCTTTGATGGCTGAGAGCGTCCAAATTTTTAAAAAAGTTGCGAACGTGAAGGTTCACCCTGGCCGTTGCTATCCTGTCCACACGACCCTGCTACATAAGCCCGATAGCTGTCGGGATAATCTCCCGAAACGTTTGCTGGGGTTGTTGATACGGCCCAAGCATGTTACCACAAAAAGTTAGTGGCAAAAGGCGTGCTCGGGGACAAGCCGCAGCTGAGGATTTGATTCGAGACGCAGATTTTTTTCGTGTGTCATGCCGATGTGCATAATGCAATGAAATTCGCACACGTGGATCCATCAAGACTTTCATGCGTCGAGCACTGCGTCACTGTCCCGATACATCAAGCGATCTGTGTATTGATGCTACTTTGTATCAACACATTTTGCCCTTTTCGCTACTGGGGACCTGTGACAGCAAGACCTACCTGAAATGGATAGCGAATTTTGAGACAGAACAGTAGCGTAATTACTTCGATGCCCTGAAATGCTGAGCTGCGGGGAGGAAATTGATGTTGATTCTTGAAGCTTTCAAAACTCGATTTTACGGACTACTTGAACCTTCTTGCACGAATGTGGAGGACAAACATTGAAAGAACGAGCGCCTGGGATTGGCTCTTAATCCAAGAAAGTGAGAAGACAGGACTAAGGTGAGAGGCGTAGAGGAGGGACTCCGAGGTGGGGTGAGTCAACTAAGGCAAAGTGTGAGTGTGGGGGTTCTGTGGTCATTGAGCGACGCATAAGGCGGAGAGCGCGAAGATGAGCGCGAAGTTGCAGGAGCTCAAAAGACAAGTTCAAGTAGCTTCCGTCGACCGAAAAACTGCAATCATTGATATCACGCTTGAGACACCTTCTGTCGACGGTGAGGTCGCCAGGAAACAAGAAAGTTTCCTTCTGAGGAATACCACAAAATTTGAACACGCGTAAAACTTGAGGAAGATTTCCGTGGAGATCTGCCACAATATGAACAGGAAGCTCCGCTCTACAAGTTCGTGGATAAGCGGAAAGAAGAGTTTAAATTTACTATTGCAATTTTAGAGAGGGTTGACAATAGAACCCTGTATTCATACTTTGTTTGGTATCACTTTTGCTTAGAGGAAAACAGCAAATTTAGGCCACCACTGCGCGAAAGCATTCGAGCGTGGTGCGTAAAAGTGATTGCTGAAGCATCATATAACGAATGCATTCAGAGAGAAACTGTTTAAAGATGTTATCTTTGCGAGACCGTAGGCTGATCATGAGTACACAGTAAGGTTTGGTCGCGAGGTCGCTATTGGTCTGATCAGCATACGGTGCCCAGAAGTCCCGGGGGGGTTTCTGCGTTTTTTCGCGTGGTTCACGGCCTGGATCGCGCCGCATGCACTGTCAGTAAACTCAGGCCCCGTCTCTAGGGCCGTATGTGAATGTAGGTGGTTAGGACGGAGATGGGTTAAGGTTGGGGAGGTTGTCGCAGGACCCACTTTGCAACGGTCGCACGTTTGATTTTGCAGCTTTGTTTCCTTTCTTTTACTGTTCCTTGATTGTATATTCGCTCGTCAATACCTTTCTTCATCCAAAAAAACAGCAATGAAAGAATGGAAACAAAGCTACAAAATCAAAGGTGTTGGCCGTTGCCCAGTGGGTCCTGCGACGAACCTCCCCAACCTTTCCCATACCCGTCCTCTCCCCGACAATCAGCATCCCGCCCCAGTATTGCAACCAGCGAGGTATTTATGGAAGTCATCTGATGGAAAATCGCGTCAAGAAAAAGAATATTGCGTCAATGGGACTATCTTCCTGCGGCGGAGGCAACAAGTGTTTCATCGCAACCACCTCGAGGAGGGTTTATCTGGCGCTTTCTCGACGCAGTGTTCACCATGATGTGTGGGAAAACAGCTTGGCTAAGCCACGTCCCGGTTTTTGGAGTAAATGGGAAAACTTCCTAATTCTCTTTCCTGTATGTGGTAATCGAGCCTTGAAAAACGGTTTCTGTACCGTAATATAAAAGCTTAGTTGGCGTAACATGGAGAAACGAAACTTTTCAATTTTCACAAGTGCTGGTTGAGCAAGGAAGGAAGCTGAAGCTTTCTCACACAACTGTGTAATTTCATCGTAACTTATATCGAACTTCATGAAAGCTGGTGCTTCCGTATTCCTGAACACTCTTCTTTTTGGATATTTCGGATATTTCTTTCACGTACATGAATTCCAAACTTATTGCTTTCATTGCTGATCCAAAGGGGGTCGTCAATGAGCGGCGAATTTAGAACACGAATCAAGTAAATCGCGATCAGATCGTCGTGGACAATGTCATTGAGATCGATTTCTTGAAACAGACGACAAATGTAAATATCTGCTAGCACGACCACAACTTCGTGGAAAAAACTGAATAGGTCAGTTCAACTACAAACATAAACTTGTGACTGCTTGAATTTTTCATACCAAGAAGTGTTCATCAATCAAGTACACTTAAGGAAAGCGGTTACGATAAAGAGGGACGCATCGGGAAAGCATATGCACCACACGAAGCAGTTACTTGGCTAATAAGGGAGCGAGCGTGGCGCCCTCACAAAGAAAGGTATGCTGGTTGCTGAGCAGGACTTCGAAAGCACTCCGCCCCCCAAAAGCGATCGCTATAGCTAGTTGCTTGATTTTAGAAGAGCTCTGTTGCAGAAGCGCTTCCGAAATGGCACAGTGGTCAGTATGATTGACCGTGGTCTAGCGTGGTGTTACCAAAGCGCTACGCTGAGCTCGTACATATGCCCGCTTCCTGAGCTATCACCTGTGCATGAGTGAAAACCAACGACCAAAAAGTGGGTCCCATTTTTAATTTTTGTCTCCTCTAGCATTCTAGAAACCGTAACCGCTCCTTTAAAGCAACAGTCCCAGCAGGGTTTTTACCTTCGACACTAATGGTGTGGAACGATGCGCTAGCCCTAGTCAAGAACATAAGAAGTGTGACTGAACAAAAACTCACCTTGGAAAGCCGCTAGAAAGGGAGCTGAACGGCTTCGAAGTGGGCGTGGTTTCAATCGGCCGAGGGGATTGCAGCCGAAACCACGCCCACTTCGAAGCTGTTCAGCTCCCTTTCTAGCGGCTTTCCAAGGTGAGTTTTTTGTTCAGTCACACTTCTTATGTTCTTGACTAGGGCTAGCGCATCGTTCCACACCATTAGTGTCGAAGGTAAAAACCCTGCTGGGACTGTTGCTTTAAAGAAATCATTCACGGAAGATACTTGTATTCTTCCCAACATTATTACAGCAGTGATCACTAGAAACGCGCACATGGACACACACGCAACAGGACTCTATTTTCGGAAAGTAACAAACGTACGAAGACCACCTGGGGATGGTTGGCGGGTAGATCGGGAGGACTCGAGGAAGCGCATGGAAGAGAAGTGCGCCTTGGAGCGGTCACGTATCAGGCGACGCATTGAAAGAATTGGATAAAGCGTTCGAATTTGGAGAATAGAGACAAAACGATCGATAGAATAGGATGCAGTGGAAAAGAAATGTTATTGCCATAGGAGGAGAAGGTCAAGAAGAGTTCCTAGTGAGGCACTCCGGGAACCAAGTGGAATCCCTTTTCCAATATTTGTGACAGATGTACGGGGGTAATCTGAACGCGTGACAGTCCTCCCGGGTTTTCAAAGTGTTTACCAAAACTAACACAACTTCTTGTTATTTCCATATTCATCGTGAATGATAGGTCTTAAGCTAGTGATTCATGGGTGAGATGGAATCAGGAGAAATCATAATTTCCTTGGACGATTCCTTTAAGTCTTTAAGGAAAATCTGCTGAAATTACCGATGCCGAGTCCTCGTCACCTTCCTCTTCCAACTCATCTTCGTGGTCGGTAATTCCAACTTGGTTTAAATTGATCTGAAAGGTATAGAGTTTGGGTGTCAAAATAAGCTGTGCATTTGAGTTCACATTGAGCAGTTTAGAAAAGATTTTTAGCTGGACATCTACTCCTAAATTCTTCTTTGCACTCCAAATTGATGCACGAGAGTTTTTCCTTTTCGTGGCGATCAATTGCAAAGGTGTGTTCATGCGAAAAGCTCGTTAGGCAGGTTCCACAGCATATGTCACCGCTTTGGGCAGCACTCACCAGCTATTTTTTTGGGGCAAAGGGACCTTGATTGGTTCACTTGGAACAAAAAACTGGGGGACCCCTCCGGTCAGTAGGCTAGCGTTGGTGAGCGAGGACCAGATCGTAGTTGCGCAGATCATTCTGTTGGCGTCTGATCCTTTCAAGAAGCGAGATGCTGCGCGGTCCTTTCCAGCGAAAAATAAGTATGGGTGCGACTCGAAGGGGAATTCAATTGAACAGTAAATCGTGCGAGTAATCTGATGAGAAAAACAATTAGACGCACTGCAAAAATCAGGGTTAAATCAGATGGAATTTGCCAAATTAGTTTTGGTTTGTTACCAATTAGTGTTAGGGATGACTGATACTGAACATGGAACATGGGTCACTTGGCTTTGAAGCTGTTGACTGTCAGGTAGGCGTTGCAGCTGCTCCCCATCACTTGTTCTGCGCCTATATCTCATATTCAGGTCATTGTTACTCCACAGAATTGAGATAGTATGCAAATACTTTGACACCCTTTACTTTGATACAGTGAATACTTTTTGTTCCAGCTCAATGAACGACCTGAACCTTGCCCTGGTTCGGTCAAATTGATAAGCCAAAGCTGGACTGGAATTTAATACCATGTTCGCGGTCAGACCATTAGATAGCTTTCGAGTGGGACTTCACAAAAAATCATGATCTTGGCGCGTCTCTAAAGAAATTGAGTCATTGGTAATCCGTGACACCTCTTCTAGGCTTGCTGCTGAACCAACTGAAAAAGAGGTGTGTGAGCGAAATAGCAGTCCATCTGGCTGATGGGTAACACGGCAGCGAAATTCATTCCATTGGTACTGGTGGAACGTCGTAATCCCTAGCATCTCAGCTATTAGCAAAAAGCTTGAACTTTGTAAATAACAAAGGCCCAATCCTCTCCCTGACGGAGAGCTCGAGCTACCTCCTAACGTTATCTTCGTACAGAACGTGCACTTTTCACCATTACCAGTAGTTGAGGAGCCTGGAGTTGTCCCCTCCGACGTGTCCAGAGATGTCGATGTGCTCTTTACCATGGCGCTTGACAATCTGCTGCTATGATATCTTATTTACTTGGTCACACGAAAGATATGAGATATTTCTAAATTAACTCGATTTTCCGAAGAAACGTCGAAATCTTGATCTTCGATTTGGGGCAGAAGGTCTTCGGGTGAAGATTACCAATGGAGCTTGCTTTTGCTGCTGTCCCTCAGCTCGGTACACAAAGTGGAGCCACATCTTTTGTCGTACCCACACTACGCTATTCTGGTCTCTAGTGATGCTTTGTGAAATTGCCTTAGAGGAGGTTTCTACGATAAGAGCGAAGGTCAAAGAAGGGAAAATTGCCTAGTTGGGAGACAGGCGGACCTCCTGAGGGTGCTGACCGACGCGCAATTGGCAGCGAAAGATTTGACCTCGGCGATCTAGCATGGCTCACTCTTGGCGCAGTTGGCGCGGTACGCCCACCGACATAGTAGAGAGAGCATTAGCAGGACGGGAGTCGCATCAATGCGGAAATCAACGGGCAAGGAAGGGGTCCCATTTCTCGGGTTCTGGGCCGTTTCTCATGGTTTTTCCTTCTTTCGTGTACCACTCACCATCCCTAATTTAATTTGAAATTGGTTGCTTTTTCTGCGTAAATTCCGCCGTTGATGGCGAATTCTAGATGCCAAATTTTGTCAGATGCTCATTCATTTCCTCATCTAGCTTGAGTCGTACTGTTCTCAGCATTGAAAGTGTACTGCAATTCGACGGCCACAGGCGAGCGAGGTGATACCAAGAAGCACCAGGAGTGCTTCTTGATTGGTTGGTAGCTAGAGTTGTCTCCTGAATTTCCTCAAGCCAACCTCGCAGGACATTTATTATTTCCCGCATCTGTTCCTTCAACGCTCCATCTTTTGGCTGGTTTATCTCGTTGAATATTTTGAAAGAACACTCAACGGTGGTATGAGATGCTCAGGAACGTATTCTATGGAGGTGACTTTTCTAAATATGAAAGACCTTCAAGGTCCTTACATAACGCACTAGCAGGAGCAGCATAAGCATATTTTAGCAAGAATGGCAATGCCTTCAAAAAACCGTACTTTACCTATGACTCAGCCTGATACTTACAGTACTATTGCCACGAGGGCGTGACAATTGCAGCAGTTCCCGATTTTCTCGTTTTTGGTCTTCAGAGAGCCTCTCGAAAAAACAGCCTTATTTTTGTGTTCCACCGACAATCAGATGTTTGAGCCAACGTATACGTTTAAAGGTTCCACGATTGTGGCAAACTAAGATAAGGGCTTTCGTTGCAACACGAACTACAAGCTTTTAATGAATGTTGAAGGGGGCCCGACGGTAATTGGACTATTTCAACTCGGTCCTTTAAAACCGCCTTAATTTGATGCTTACCTCAGGACTAAGCCTTAAAGAGAGGACGAACCTGCGAGAGCGCAGGTCCGTCCTCTCTCCAAGGCTTAGTCCTGGAGGTAAGCAAACCAGCCCTTTTGGGAGCTGCTGGACCAGCTGCACCACTTGCGTCAAGCAAACCAGCCCTTCTGGCGGAGCTGCTGGACCAGCTGCACCACTTGCGTCAGTACTCTCCTACCGTACCGACCGAGTTGAAGTAGTCCGTCGACCGTTGGGGACCCCATCCCCTCCCCAACATTCAGCATACGGCCCCAGCAGAAACGCCAAAAGGGCTGGTTTGCTTACCTTCTCTTTTTACGAATCATACCCGTGCAAATGTTTTCGGCGCTGATGTAGTGAGGAGGTGAGGAAGGCGTTCCATACCCTCTGAGTACTCTCTGAGCAACTTCTTTATTCAGTCTCTTTCCAGGCGCTCATCATGTTGGGTGAGAGGAGGACATTCAAGTAAAGGAACCACTTACGGTACTTGGGCCTGAGCCTAGGAAAGGGAAGGATGATGTAGCAATTCGTGTTCTATCTGGCTCCCTTCTCCTGAGCGTTTTAAGTGTCCCTTCAAGGTCAGCGCCTGTTCTCTCTGAGCGCCTGCTTCAAGAGTGAATATTCTGCAAGTGTACTCTGACTGCACAGAAAGGCACTCACATCATCTGCTAACTCTTTTTTTGCGGCCATCCGCTCTTCAAACGGTTACTAACAAAACTGAAGCGAACACTTCACTTTGCTTACGAAAATGTCGTGATACCGCTCGCATTTCTCAGCTCACGTTCATTTTTCCTAATTCGTCTGAGATGGATAGGTTCATATCACTTTGCCATATATATCGGTGGTCGTTCGTTTCTGCTGGCGCACTGCTTCGTTTGATCTAAGCAAGCTCATTTTCATGTGCAACCCATAACTTCATTACGAACCAATAATAGGTTCGCAGCTTTACCGGTCGAACGGGTTCTACAGGGCCGTCATCTGCATTGATGAAGAAGGGAAACGGGACCAAAGCGACCATGGCGTTTGGATGGGCCGAGTTGAGCTCATCCAAAGCCTCCTTGAGCGAATCCTCCAGTTTCTCGAGATTCCGACAAGGATAAGAGCAGGCCTCACTCTCCAGCACACACAATACATAGCGACGCCTTGAATTCAAGTGGAGAGAGCAACATGACCCTTCCACAGCAATTTCCTGGTTCATTGTTCCGGGTTCGAATTTCAGGATTCACGGCTTTGCCCATCTTCAGTTTGTGTGCAGGCGCTCTGTCTTGCCAAAATGTCCAGCGATTCCCTTCGAAGTCTTTTTCCCTAAATTATGATACATCAACTGAATTTGTAGAATTCCTACTATGTATAATTCGCTGTGTATGTGCCGCGAAATTCATAGCGCGCACCTCAGGGAGAGGTATGTGACTTCTGGTCACATTGAGAGTGAAAAAAGTGACCAGTTGATAAGGGCTGATAAGCTCAATTTTAGCAACCACTGAAGCTGTTATCTAGATGCGCGACGAGTAATCCATTTCATTTCGTTTGCGATGTCGTCGTCAGCATCGATATCAATTGACAGCTAATCTGCCCAGCCAAATAAGACGCCAGCGCAAGAACACAGAATCAGTGTAAGACGCAAGATCCTAAATAAGAACATAGCATTTCGTTTCATCTCCATGCATTGTCATCGACACCGTCAAATTAGACCGATATTCTGCCCCAAGTATTCAGAATGTACAGCATGTTCGAAGAGATACAATAATAACTGCTGGGTATCTATTTCATCACAGCATCAGCATTATTAGCATTAGCACCAGCATTAGTAGCACCAGTTTAGCTCCGCACGCGACTGCGCGCATCACATGGTAGGCTTTAGTGAAACTGGACAACTTGCTGAATATTAGGTCACGTGGCTGAGAAACTAACAGTAAGATGTTTGGAAGATGTGTCACATGAATTTCAAAGGCTGTCCAATTTTGCTGAAGATTGTAGCGTAATGCGCGCAGTAGCATGCGGAATGAAAATTACACTATATGACTTCGTAAACATTTAGCATTGATATCGAGCTCGGGATGATTTAGCGGTTTATAGAATTTCCACAATTGAAGAATCGGTGTGTAAGTGAAATATAACCAATCAATCAGCATCTAACCGAGCTATGATGGAAATTGGAAATATGATGGAAATTCGCTATTGGTCCAAGTTGGGCAGCTCAACTTTCTTTGTAAATAAAAGGGTAGGAGAGGAACATATTTCGCCTAGGGACCTGGTTTAATTCAATTGAGTGCACGCTCAACTGTCGCTACTTTTATCAGTACAGTTGCCGCTCATACCACTTTCTGTCACCTACATTCAACCCTCGCCACCTTGATCGCTTGCCAGTGATAATTGCAACGAAGTTGGAGAGACCTGCATTCAAACGCTCTTATCATTCCTTGTCATTTGTTATCAGTTCATACTGTTCGCAATCGGTGTCCCGGTCCCAACCTCCACGCAACGTGTAGGAGCTAATATTTACTGTCACCACGAAGGCTGCAACGAAATTAGCAGTACTCAAAATCCTAACTTCCTTATCAACCGTTATCGCTTGTTATCACTTCTGATCATCCGCTATCCGTGTTCCCGTCCCATCCCCTATACCACATGTGAGAGCCAAGGTTTCCAATGTAACCGCAAGGGCCGCAACGAAACTGGTGGTATCCACACTTTGACGCCCCTTATCAGTTCTTATCAGTTGCTACCACATTCGTTCACTCAACTTCTTGGTCCCCGCCTCACTCCACATCCTATCCCTACTATATATAAAACGCTATGTCTGTCTGTTTGTGTGTGTGTGTGTGTGCGTGTGTCACGAAATTCATAGCACGCGTCGCAGCAGTCGTTAGGAGCTGATTTTTTGATATGATATAGGGGGTGGGACGGGAACATATTTGGTGGGGGTCAGAAAGTGATAACGACTGATAAGAGCTGATAAGAGGCGCTAGAACGCAAATTCCACGAAATTCATAGCTGGCGTCCCAGCAACAGTGGGGCGTTGATTCCTTGAAGGGATGTGCAGGGTGGACGGGAACATGTTTGGTGGGGGCCAGAAAGTGATAACGACTGATAAGAGCTGATAAGAGGCGTTAGAACGCGAATTCCACGAAATTCATAGCTCGCGTCCCAGCAGCAGTGGGGCGTTGGTTCCTTGAAGGGATGTGCAGGGTGGGACGGGAACATGTTTGGTGGGGGACAGAAAGTGATAACGACTGATAAGAGCTGATAAGAGGCGCTAGAACGCAAATTCACGAAATTCATAGCGCGCGTCCCAGCAGCAGTGGGGCGTTGGTTCCTTGAAGGGATGTGCAGGGTGGGACGGAACATGTTTGGTGGGGGCCAGAAAGTGATAACGACTGATAAGAGCTGATAAGAGGCGTTAGAACGCGAATTTCACGAAATTCATAGCTCGCGTCCCAGCAGCAGTGGGGCGTTGGTTCCCTGAAGGGATGTACAGGGTGGGACAGAAACATGTTTGGTAGGGGACAGAAAGTGATAACGGCCAATAAGGACTGATAACAACGATATGTGTACGACTGTGGAGATAAGTCAAAAACACATTTGAAATAGCGCAATTCACTTCCATATCATTCTTCAGCAAAATTACCATTCGGCCGCTACACTCCCCCGAGTTCCAAAAAATGTCCGATGGATGTTTTAAGAAACATGATAATGAGTGCTGGGTATTTAGATTCCAACATGCGTAGTATTGAAGATTGTTCGACCGCTAAATTATTTTGACATTAGATGCATGGTGGTTGTTTACAGACATCACTTTAGCTCCGCACTCCACCGCGCGTATCAAGCGGACAGTCAGCTAACGCATTTCACGAAGAATTTTATTTCGTACCGGTGGAATTTGACCCTCCACCGACTGTCCAGTTTCACCGAAGCCTTCGATGGCCATGCACGCGGTAGTGTGCGGAGCTAACTGGTAACTATATTAAAGCCGCTATGTCTGTCTGTTGTGTGTGTGTGTGTTGTGTGTGCGTGTGTCACGAAATTCATAGCACGCGTCGCAGCAGTCGTTAGGAGCTGATTTTTTGATATGATATAGGGTGGGACGGGAACATATTTGGTGGGGGTCAAAGTGATAACGACTGATAAGAGCAGATAAGAGGCGCTGAAACACAAATTTCACGAAATTCATAGTGCGCTTCGCAGCAGTCGTCAGGAGCTGATTTTGGGCATGATATAGGGGTGGGACGGGAACATATTTGGTGGGGGTCACAAAGTGATAACGACTGATAAGAGCAGATAAGAGGCGCTGAAACACAAATTTCACGAAATTCATAGTGCGCTTCGCAGCAGTCGTCAGGAGCTGATTTTGGGGCATGATATGGGACGGGAAACATATTTGGTGGGGGTCAAAAAGTGATAACGACTGATGAGGACTGATAGTAACGATATGCGTACGAACGTAGAGAGCACTTGAAAATAGAGAGCAGATTGTAGATAATGCCTTTCATTTCAATATCATTTCATCAGCGTTGTAATTGTAAACTCAAACACCTTTCGACCGCTACACCTTCTAGAGTTCTTGAGGATGAATGGGATGCTCGAATAAATATGATCCTACTATATATAAGCGGCTAGCGTGTGTCTGTTGTGTGTGTGTGTGTGTGTTTGACCGGAAATTCATAGCTCGAGTCACAGTAATGATAGCGCAGTGGTTCTTACATATGTTATAGGGGGTGGGATGGGGACACAAGTGGTACGTGATAGGAACTGATAACGACTGATAATAGCTGATAAGAGGGGCTAGAAAGCGAGCATCGCCAATTTCGTTTTGTCGTTCATATTGGTACTAGAGCGTCTATACTTACAAGTGTTATGTGGGGCGGTCCCGGGACATTGGTGGTACATGATTGGAAGCGATAGCAACTGATAAGGGCTGATAAGATGCGCTAGAACGCAAAAGTCGTCGATTCCGTTGCCTGGCTCGCGTTGACACCAGAGCAACCATACTTACAAGTGTTATGTGGGGTGGGACGGGGACATTGTTGGTGGGTGCCAGAAACTGATAACGATTGATAAGGGCCGATAAGGCGCGCCAGAACGCTGAAGTCGTCGATTCCGTTGCCTGGCTCGCGTTGACACCAGAGCAACCATACTTACAAGTGTTATGTGGGGTGGGACGGGGACATTGTTGGTGGGTGCCAGAAACTGATAACGATTGATAAGGGCCGATAAGGCGCGCCAGAACGCTGAAGTCGTCGATTCCGTTGCCTGGCTCGCGTTGACACCAGAGCAACCATACTTACAAGTGTTATGTGGGGTGGGACGGGGACATTGTTGGTGGGTGCCAGAAACTGATAACGATTGATAAGGGCCGATAAGGCGCGCCAGAACGCAAAAGTCGTCAATTTCCGTTACGCAGCGTTGACACTAGAGCGTTCCTACTTACAAATTGTAGTAAGTCGTAGTAGTACAAACAAAGGTACGTGCACATTATTTCGATATATATCCAGCTTACTTAATAGCAGTCGATTGCATAAATTCAATCAAGTCTTCAGCAAATGATAAGTTTCATTTCCTATCAAGAAAGCCCAAACTCATTAAACCGCTAATCCTTTCGGGGTTCTAAATAATGGTGAATGTAAATAAATGATAAGCCTTAGCTCCTCACTTATGTAAATAGGCATATTTCGTTTTGATTTTGAGACTGACAGCAATCCTATTCACCGCTAAATTATCTTAATTCAAGAAAAATGCTGGATGTTTACAGAGTTGTGATCAATATACCAGTTCAGCTCAGACGTTATCACGCGTATTCTCGATGAGCTTCAGTGAAACTGTGGAGGGTCTAACACAGTCAATAGTGAGATGGTTAATGGAGTATCTCATGCTGATATTCCATGGGTCCTCCAATTTCGCTAAAGCCTGCCGTGTGATGCGCGCGATAGCGGGCGAAGCAAAACTGGTAATGAATACTGGGCATTCCGTTTTGAGATATTCGACCGCTAAATTACCTCGATACTCGACGCATAGTGGTTGTTTACATCATCACTTTAGCTGTGCACTTCACTGCGCTTATCAAACAGTGAGATACAGCCAAGATGGGCAGCCTATGCAACGGACAGTAATACATTTAACGAAGCAGCTATAATTTAGCGGTGAAACCTAAAGCTTCATCGATTGTCAGTTCTATCAATGCGCGCGGTAGCGGGCGGAGCT